TTTCATCCTAGTTAAGAGTACTTTTGGATACAAGAGTGAAGCATTTTTCACTCTTATGAATGTCTTTTTAGTCCTTTGTCTTATTTCAAGACTTTCTAGTCTTGTTATCTTTGACAATAGTCATTCTAGTTTACTACTTTATCATTTTTGAGTAATTTTTTAGTCTTTTTGAGTGACACAAGATTATATTGACATTTTAGTTTTTTAAGGTCCATATCCTTGACACCATCATAGAGATTGTCCATTAGAGTGAGAATAAGCAAACAATTGGCAAGGCCAATTTTACAAAGATATAAGTGTTCATTATAGAGAGTATAAGCAATGACATAATTTGTAGGATCCTCCAAATATAACATTATCACTACATTTTTTAGCACCACCTTGTAAGAAGCATCTTAGCAATGATCCCTTTTTGTGTAGATTGAAGGCTACTAATAATAGAATGGCTTATTTATAAAGCCTAAGATTTATGATTATATTTTCTATTTTAAATTTTTGAATATTAATATTTATCAATTTATATATATTGCACATATAATTCAAAAGGTATTTATTATAATTCAACTATTATGTAAAAAAATATATATATGGATTCTTTATAGAAGAGATAAATTTAAAACATTAGTTATAAAATACAGATAAAAGATAATAAGATAATAAAAATATTTAGTATTAATAGATATATATATATATATATATATATATATAAATACTTCTATTTACTTTATAGGACTATTAATAAGATAAAATAAAGTAAATTAGTAAAAATAATATTAGAAGAATCTTTAGCTAAAATTAAAAAATATCTTTTAATAAAAATTTCTTTAAAAATTAAAGATTGATATTTGAAGAAGATTGATTATGAATCAATGATAAAATCAAACTTAGAGTCTCAAAACCGTCTACTTAGAGCAATTTAGGATTCTTTTGTTGATTAAAGAATCAAATATGGTGCAAATTTGATAGAGGTTGTTTGAATATTGATTTAAAGTTATTTGGATTTATATTAACTTTGTAAAAGCTTTGAAAAGCTAAAATTCTTTAGATAATTTTGAATTTTGAGCAATAAAATAGAATTTTTAGTTTATAAAAATTTATGAGCATTATTAAAAATTAATAAATGAATATTTTTGGAGTTATATATTTTTTGTTTTATATTTATTTTGTGAATTTAGATTCAATTGGAAAATTAGATCAAATATTATTGAAATTTAATTGGATTAAAATCTTAGAATATAGATTTCAAGGGCCAATGAGGATTCTTTTTTTTTTAAGTAATTTGCCAATTAGATAGAAGTTATTTTTTGTAAGCCAATTTTAAATTTAGTTTGTAACCATTTTGTTGATTTGAAAGCAAGTAAGCAATTTACTAAAGAACTATTGTTGATAAATTGACATGAAGATTGGAGATGAAGGAAAATTGAGACTTGAAAATACTAAAAGCTTTTTATCTCAAATAATAATTTTTTATTTTTTTTAAATTTTTTGTGTTTGATGCTAACTTGTAAATTGAAATTTGTGAAATCTTTTAGATAAGATCAATATTTTAATTAATAGTTATTAATATTTAAAGATTATTAAATGAATTGATTAAGATTAATTAGAATTAATTAGGATTTAATTAAATTTTTATTAGAGTTATTAGGATATATTTAGAATTTGATTGAGATACCATTAGGATTTTTGTAGGATTTTCAAAGTTTATGCAGGATTTATTTAGAATTTTATTATGATTTTTTAGAATTTATTTAAACTTGATTAAAACATCTTTAGGATTTTATTAGGATTTTAAGATTTATGTAGAGATTCTTTAGGATTATTTTTTAAAGGTTTTTTTTAATATTTTTTTAGATTTTAAATAAGTTTTGATTAAGGTTCTTAAGGTTTAATTGCAATCCTTTTAAGAATTTATTAGAGCTACAAGATTATTTGTTTGTTGTAAAATAGAAGATTATTTTTTGTAGCCAAATGCCTAGTGTATTTTTGAGCAAATTATTATGTAATATAACAACAAACAATTAGTCAATTGTGTTGCTATGTTATGTTGATAAGTCAAATCTGTTTATGTTCTACTATAAATAAGGCACTTGTTGAATTTGAAAACAATGTATGGCCCATCAAAGCGGCTTTTAGAAATTTCATATCTTTAAGCATAGATAAAATTATCTATGCTAAATTTCATGTTTTTGAATGTTTTAAACAATCCTTATAGAGGTTAGTGCATATTGAGTTTTTTTTTTTTTTTTTTTTTTTTTTTTAATTTCAAAATGGAAATAACTCAGAATAGATAGTTTTTCGTTTGTCTTTTTCTAGAAAGTAGAAAGAAGACTAAAGAATTATAAAGCTAGAATCTTATAAAAGTGGGACAGAAGAGGCATACACAAATAAACTTGCACCCAAATGGAGAAATGCATATATTTTTTTGCTCGAAGCCACAGTAAAAATGAAAAAAATAAGATTATATATACTTTATAAAGTGTTGTCAATATTAATTATAAAATTTTGTTATATTTGATATCTCTATGATTGTAAAAATTCCATTTTTTAATAACCATAATTATAACAGACTATTTTTTGATGTTGATTATAATGATGAAGATTAATTAAAGAATCTATTTGTTGAAAGTAGGAAGAAGAGAAGGAGGGATGTGGAAATAATGATGGATGGATCAATTTAATAAATCCTTATGATTGCCATATTTTATTAATTTCTAATATTAAGTCTTTAATAATTTATGATAAATTTTTCAAAATAAAAATCTTATAAAATAATAAATATATAGATTAAGATAATAAAATTTTATTATGTTATCAAATCTTATATGAATATATGTTTATATTCTTTAATTCCCAACTATATATAAAATTCAACTAATAACATCATATAATACACAGACACACACACACACACACACACATATATATATATATATATATATATATGTAATACTTAATTTTTTAATATTAATTATTTTAAAATATAATAATAATACATTTTTATTTTGAAAAATTAGACATATATATATATATATATATTTACAGCTAAATAAGAATAATACTTTTTAATGTAAAGTTGTTTAAATTTGATTTATAAATATAAAAATTTATATAAAAATGGTTGACACTACTAAATCATTTTTTCTTTACCACAATAATAAATATTTTTACTAAAGAGAAGTTTCATTATTATGTTTTCGTACATAAAAAATGTTATATTAATTTAATGTATTATTTTAGATTTTTTAATTATAAAATTAAATTAATTCTTTTTATTTTTTTATCAATACTATTAAATTTCTACCATAAATGTTTCTAATTATACTAATAGGATGCACAAGGTATTAATTAATAGAAGTAATTATTAATTAATAGTTTAAAAAAATTTAGATTTTTATTTTAATAGATGTCTTTTAGTAATTTTTATTTATAGGTCTTATGCTTTATTATCTAAATCATGATTTTAATTTGTGCATTAGATTTCAAATAATTTGATTAAATAAAATTTTGATTTTGATATTTTATTTTGTGATAAATCAACTTATTCTTTCATAATATATTTTTTTGATCTATAAAAATATTAAAAGAATCTCATTAATAAAAAAATATTATTATTTTAGTTTATTTTATTTTATTCTGTAAAAAAGCCACTACTATATTTTATTTACAAATATATTCTATTAATACTAATATATATTTACTATTTATATAATATACTATTATCATCCAATTCTTTTCTTATTTTTTTATAAAATACTTAGATTGTTGATCAAGGAATTTGTATCTAATTGTCCTTGTCTTACGGAATAAACTAATTCAAACTAAATTCTTGCAATAATAAATATTTTTAAGATTTAGTTATGATCACAAACTTGTATTGTAAAACCAAAAACTAATAATAAACTACAACCATATACAACTCTACAACAAGTATTTGTTTAATTTTGAAATAACATTTAATGCATATTTTAGAAGATAGATTCCTCATAACAATTTCATCTTTTCATTTTATATCTTTAATCTTTATATTGAAATTATATGTTTAGAATATATTAATTTATTATAGAAATTATGTAAAATTTTCATAATATTAACAAATGTTTTATCACCACAACAACTTATTGTAGTAACTGCACAGTTTTTTGTAGAATGATATCAAAAGAAATTAAATCACCATTGTAGCATCAAGATAATGGCAATCTCTGAAAGGGTGAATAAATTCAGAGTTGGAAATGGTCTTTGTGCCTGAATGCATGCAAGTTTCAAAAGATTATTTAAAAAAAAACAAACAAACAAAAAAATTGAAAAGAAAAACACACACACAGATTTTTTTGACATCATAGTCCAGTATTGCCTTCATCCAGTTTGTTTCTCTTATGAAATCTGGGTGTGGTCCCCAATGGCTCAGGGTTCGTCCTTTTTTTCCGTGACAGAAGCATGAATGGTTGTGTTGGTGCTACGTAGAGGAGGTGGCGATGCCGCTCATCCAAAGCTCTTGCTCGTAGTTTCAGTGTGGCATTTACAACTCAATGAACTCCACAGAAGATCTCAAACCCAGCTAAAAATCCATCTAAAACATGAGAACGTTTGGTCACTTTCAGCATTTACCTTCCGGAGCGAGGGGTGCAGAAATGCCTTTCCCACATTCTAGACAGCACTTGATCCGGGAATGGGATGTATCTCCAGCGACGCCGACTCATTCGATCCAGCAAGTCAATTACGATTAGTGTTCCACTTGTTAAAATCAAGGCCAAGGTGCAGTCTAATGCTTGCAGCCGAACTGCATCGGAGACGAGTTCATGTATCATGGTGTCAAAGAGTGCAGATTCCGTGCATTCGCTTCTGGAGAAGGTGATTAGAAACATGAGAAATCCCATGCAATTTTCTAATTGAAGGCAAATGTCGGTCTACAGCTATGAACATGAAATATGCTTTGGTTGCACGGACAATCGCATCGAGTAGAATGTGAGAAACTGACAGTCATTTGGCTGTGATCGCTGAGATGAAGCCTCAGTTGCTCAGAAGCAGAACAATTGAGGGAAAGAATCTTGCCACTGATTCGAGCGAATTTATTACTACTGATTCTGTGGGTCTCGACCAGACACGATGCTAGAAGATGCCCCAGCTCTAGGTTACAAGTTATGGATGGAATCATAAAGGTACAAAGTCGATATGAGAATGAATACAGTGCTCAAAATTATGGATGACTACCAAAACCTAGACAGAACTGAAATTACAGGGATCTAAGAGCAGCGATCGACTGCAGAGGGGCAACGCAGAGGTCAATACAGTGACCCCCTTTTCGATCACTGCTCTTGTCCACTTAGTGTACAGAAGCATAAGGATACCAGCTCTAAAGAGATCGATCCAAACATGTAGAATCCTGAGTATGGAAGATCAGGAAGTAGTCTAGATGGTCACGGTAGAACCAGCCACGATCTCGAGAATCTCTCCGGTAATCTTAGCTTGACGTTGCCTGTTGTAAGAAACGGAGAGCGACTTCTTCAAATCGGAAGCATTGTCGGATGCATTGCTCATGGCGTTCATACGAGCCGCGAGTTCACTGGCGATGGACTCCTGCAGAGCTCTCAGGATCTGGCTGTTGAGATACAAAGGCAACAAAGCGTCAAGGATCTGAACAGGCTCCTGCTCGAATGTAAGCACACCGGCGAAGTCGACGGTCTCGGTCCTGATGGTCTCCCTCTCCACAGAGAATTTCCCGTCCTTAGTAGTTAATCTGAACATCTCGTCATCGGCGGCGTCAACGCAGTTGCCACTGATGTCACAAACCTCTCCCTGAGGAGAAAGGGGTAACAAGGTGTGGATGATAGGGTCGGATTTGATCAACGACACGAATCGAGTGTACAGCAGTTCCACCTTGTCAACTTCCTCCGAGACGAAGAGAGAGAACAACTCGTCAGCGACGGCCTGCGCCTCCTTCGTCGTGGGGGCATTTCCGGCATCCAGAAATCTGTCAACTGGGATAGCCGGCCTCCTCTTGAAATAGCTGTTGCCCTTCTTCCCGATACTTACCACGGTAAGGTCGATTCCCATGTTGCGTATCTCCGCCATCCTCTTTTCCGCTTTCTTCAACACGTAGTTGTTGAACCCACCGCACAATCCTCTATCTCCCGTGATCACAACGAGGGCAATCTTCTTCACAGGCCTCACCTGTGCCATTCATATCCAAATTCCCGGGTCGTCAGGACTCCGAAACCAAACACCATCTCGTGCCTCTCAGTGCCGACATCCATGTCTAAATTGACATAGCTGGACAGGACATACTTCAAAGTCTTATTTAACATCGCTAATGCAAAATGAGAGCAAAAGATGAGCGTCAAAAACAGAAACTTACGGTGGTGAGTGGGATATCGATATCCTCCGTAGAGATTTGCTCATTAACGTTGTACAACACCTTGACGAGGTTCTCCGAGAAGGGGCGGCCATTCACCACAGCCTCCTGCGCGCGACGCACCTTGGCAGCGGCCACGAGCTTCATGGCGTCAGTAATCTTCTGCGTGTTCTTCACGGTAGCGATTCGGTCCCGCAAGTCCTTCAACCCAGCGGTGACCACGGAGCGTCCACGGCCATCGCGCCTAGCAGCGCTTCTCCCTGTCGCCAACTCCACAGATCCAGCAGGCTCCGCACCACGCAGACCCAAGGACCGAGCCGACAGGCCCTCGAAGGTAGCCATCTGTAGAGACGAACCGCATGCGATAGAGGCCGCCATTGCAACAAATCAACACTTATCGAGCACAGTCCGGAGCAGGGAGGGTGCGATGGACCGGAGTGACGGATTGTCGAAGCACTGGCTGCGCAATGGAATGCAGCAGTGAGGAGGGGAGACGCGATGAGAGGTGATCAGTGGGGTACATGGCTATGGTGGCAATGGCGACGCCTTATCCAGCAGCATCATCGCTTGCATCGAATGGCCGAAAACCAGCCTTGCTTTGCTGATCCTGCAGCCGCTGCAGCTTGCTTTCCCTTTGTTTTGTTTTGTTTTGCTTTGGTTTCCCTTCCTCTGGTGCGATGATGTGCGGATAAGACGAGACTCTAGATGGGTGTGCTCTCTTCCTGATGGGCTTCTTTCCATGATTTATTCCGTGCTCGCCGAATATGCTCCTCGTTTCTACTTTCAGGAATCGGTTTTTGGGAGTTCAAGTTCTGTTTTGTTTCGTTTCTTGAATGCCCACGTTATTCTGTATTCACTTAGTGTAATTTGATGGTTTTTATTTTTATTTTCATTTTTATTTTCTTCTTTTGTGTGTGGAATGTAACAAACGGGAGATGTGTCTTTTACTCATTGTTTGAAGGTATATTACAGTGGTTTTTTTTTTTTTTTTTTTTTTTTTTCTTCACAAAGTAAGATAAAAACTAAATCATGTTTAATCATTACAAGGATTTTTCAGTCATTTTTGCAAGTTCAAAAACAACCTCTCTTCTTTTTCTTTTTTCTTTTTGTTTTTTTCATCTTCCCATTTTACTTAAAACGGTTTGAGTTTTAAGCATTTTGTGTCTTAAGTTCTAGGAATCCTTCTACATGTGCCTTCATTGACAAGGTTTGTAATGAACAAATAATCAAGTTCAATACCTATTTTCATTTTTTTTCTATTATTGATTTTTTATGTAAATATTTTTTGAAATATTACTTTATATGAATAGCCTCAAACTTATAAAAGATGTATATAGTTTTATTTTTAATTTCCTTGTTTGTCATTTAGAAATTTTATGTGATTTTATGTGAAATTTTATTAGGAATGTCCAAAGTAAGAATTAATGTTGCAATGCTACTTATATATAAATATTATTATATTCACTTTAAATGTTAGGCATTTATTAGATGTATTAATTTTTTGTTGCCAAATTAAAATTTGATGACAATCCAAAGTTTTAGGTCCTTATTTTTTATATAATGTTACAAACATATGTTAAAACATGTCATAAAAAATATATATATATATATATATATATATATGGTGTATAAGTTGGTATAATCACTTATTAATGATAAAATTAATTTTAAATACAAGAATTTTTCACCAACACCAGGTTTTAAAAAATATCATATGTACACACTGTAATTGGTTTTAAGTAATAAATTGTAAATAAACAAGGAAGTTATTACAAATTGAGATTAATTTGTCTTTGATAACCATTGAAGATACTCATAGTATTCAATTATTTTGTTTCTTCTATATGATTCTTTTAAAATTTGAATTCTACAAAAAGGTGTTATAATTTCTACTATAATTATAATCAACCACTTTTCTAGTAAATTTTTTTGCACTTTATGTAGAAGAATTTCTTAATCATGATATAATTATTATTCTTTATGTCAAGAAAAGCCTTTGCTTATAGCAAATTATTATTTTTTATTAAAAAAATATTTTTTAATAAAAATATATTAAAATATATATATATATACATATATGCTTTAAAAAGACAAATAAAATAGAAAAAAATTGTAATTAATTTACCAAAACCATTTAGACAAACAATAAAATGTTCTTGTATTATGTGAAACATAGCTTGGAAATGTATTCTACATTTAATTGTAGAAGAAATTGATCTAAAGCCTAAAATTCTTTGTGTAATTTAAAAAAGAATGAGTATTTATACTCGTATTTTTCAACAATCTTTATCTTTCTTGAAATCCTAAATCCAAATATTACTGAATTGTATTACTCATAAATCTCAACTCCTACCACTATGCAACAAATCTTTAAAAAATCCTGGGTAATTTCTCTGAAAATCTTATCTAAAATCCAACAAATTTAAATAAACTTCAAACAAATTTTCAATAAAATACTAATAATTTTCAACAAAAACTTAAAACATCTTTCAAAAAAATCTTAAAAAAAACCTTAAAATCTTAAGCAAACTATAAATTTCAGTAAAAAAATTTAATATAATACAAATCTTGATTATGTTGTTAGATTATCTTTTAAAATTTATGTGCTATTAGAAATTTTTTAAAGATAAAAACTTAAAGAATGTAAATAAATAAGTGACATGTATATCAAAGAGAGATGACAAAGAAGAAACAAAAAAGTATGTATATTCAAAAACAAAATAGAATGGCTATTACCAAAGACTAGAGACTACTAAAACTAAACTAGAAGTAAGAAAGAAAATGAAAAAAGTGATGAAGGCCTCGCTCTTGTTTCTATATATATTATCTAACTACAAGCTACATAGCAACGTTCAATAAGATCTCCAATACATGTCCAACTTGCAGATCATGTGTCTAAATCGGAAGATTAGTTTCCTATAAATGCACTACATAGCCAACTTGTACCACAAGTTGCTAACATGTGTGATATGTGGCCAATTTAATGACTAAGTTTTCAACTTGTCAATCACATGTAGATAAGTGTAAAGTCAAATCTACATCTATGAAGCTTTTAAAAAGCTTCAACATAAGATATTATATAATGTATTTTCTTTTTTTTTACTTCTTTTTAATTCTTTTTATGTAGGTAATAACTTGTATTCAACATGTTTGTGACAACATGTTACTTTTAAATAAGTTCATAAATTTTGATAAAGATCCAACTTTTTACATCAAAAGATATTACAAAAAGTCCATTATTAATGATACTTGACTTCTTAACTTTAAATTGAAGAAAAATTCCAACAAAAATATCTTACAAATCAACTATTAAATATTACTTAAACTTTGTGTATAATATTAATATTATGTCTTTTCTTAATATTTAAAAGAATTATTTTTTTTAAATTTTTTTAATCTTAAAATAATTAAAAAATAATAGGTAGCTTCAATTTTTTTATCTTAAAATAATTAAAAAATAATAGGTAGCTTCAATTTTTTTTTCAATACTTTGTTTTGTATGCAAACCAATATCTTACAATTAATTGATAAAACTTTACAAAAATTAAGAATAAATTTTATTACTTATAAAAAATTATAATTACAAAGATATAATTTCAATTTAATTTAGATTTTCAAAACTTTAGTCAATTTAATTAATAAATTTTATTGCATTTTAAATAACAGTATTTACAAATATTATTTTATTTCTTTTACACAAGGACTTCTTTATATCAAAATTCTATATATATTATATTTCAATAAAGCTTTTATGATCATTTCTCCAATCTCTTATTTCAATTCTAAAAAATACTCTTTATTATATTTTCTTATTTTTCTATCTCAAGCTTTACTTTTAACTCTATCTTACAAATAGTCATCCATAGATATCAATTTAACAATTTTCATGGTTATTTATCTAATAAACTACTTTTAATTATAATTTAAATTTTATTTCATTTTTTATATCTAACATATATTTTTTTGTTTTGTTTATGGCCTTACAAAGTAGGTTGCATAATATAAACCTTAGATATTATACCAATTGAAAGGATGTCATGTCAATAAAATTATTTGAATTAGAAATGTACATTTTGTAAATTATAGCTTAAAAATATGCTAAGCATGTATCTATGGAAGAAATTTATTTAAAACCTAAAATCCTAGATGTATTATAAATAAATTATAATAAATCTTATATAAATTCTAATTGGTTATAAAAAAAATCTAATAAATTCTAAGTAATCTCTAAGTAAATTCTAATTAATCATAAATTTAATATTAAAAAAAATTCAAAACAAGTTATAGGTAAATTCTAAAAAACTTTAAAAGAATATCAAACAAATTTTGAATTGCTATTGTATTATGTGAAATTTAGCTTTAAAATGCATTAAACATTTGATTGTTGAAGGATTTAAACTTACCTTGAATTTCTTCATATAATGAAAATAAAATTTATGAAGTATTTAGAAACAAATGTCTTAGCAATTATAACCCTCTTAAAATCTGAAAATAAATTCTTTCATTATATATATATATATAGATTTTAAAATCTAAATTATATCTTTGCTATTGCCAACTATAAAGTTAATTCTTCCAATAGCTTGAGAAGAAATAAAAAATAATACATAGAGAATAATCTGAATACTAATTATATCCTTAGATGGTATAACGTAGATAATTTTTAAGGTTATTTGTATGTCTTTTATTCATCTTTAAAACAATTTACTATATTTCAAGCTCATGGATATAAACTTTACTATTACTTCTTAAACCACTATAATGGTTTCTACTTAATATGCTCAATACCACTTTAATTGATCATAACTTGAATTTCTTTCAAGATCATAATTTATAATCCCTACTTGATATGTTTTAAGATTAAATATGGTATTTACTTCTTGGTTCAAAATCATCCTACTAACAATCCAAATCAAACATTAAACTATCTTAAATCAAATTCTAAGTAATCTTAAAAAATCCTTATAAAATACTAAAAAAAGTCACACATATAAAAAATGACATTCTTTACTTGTGGAATTTTAATAAATAGAAAAGAAAGAAAAGACAAAGAAAAAAATCTATTTTTGATTCTTTAAATAATATTTTTAATAAAAAGATAAATAAAGTAATTATTGATGTCTTTATTATAAATTTCTATTTTAAACATTTATGATTTTTATGATCTTATACACATATTTTTAATCTTTTTAGTTTATAACCATTACTAGCTTTATTTTATTTTTAATATATATATATATATATATATATATATATATCAATTTTCTTTAGAATTATTTTGTATGATATATAACAAAGATGCTATGGTAGTTTTAGTTGGATTAGTTTATTATTACAATTAAGATCTAATACTTTCTTCTACTTTATAAATTTAAAATTTATTGTTGCTTAAAAATTAGTTGATGTATATTTATTAAATATATTTTTAAAATAATTTTTTATTATTATATATATAATAGAGATGTGAATGATCTTCTATTTTGATTTTATTTTTTAAAAATTCTAATGTGTAAAAGTGTAAATATATCACAAAATCCTTGTTACATAATGTTAGATTTCCATCATCAGAATTCAACCTCATTCTATCTTTATTGTCTATTTTATTTGTATCTATATATATATATATATATATATATATCCAAGTATGCATCAATCTATAATATAAATTCAATGTTGTAAAAATTATATATTATTTAGATAATATTAGTAGTGGATTGTCTAATTCATTGTCAATGTTTGTATCTTTTACATTAATATATCTATCTATCCCTATACAACTATATACACATACATACATATTATTACTATAAAAATTATGTCTAAAATTTCGATTTTCTGATTTTATAATATATAAAGTTATATATATATATATATATATATATATATATATATATATTTCAATAATATTTGTTTCATATCTTAGGAAATAAAATTAGATGACACACATGTTTTAAAAAATAATTAATCATAAATTATATGTATTTATTTGTGTTTGTATATATATGTATGATACAAAAGACTAAAGAAAATAAAGCACATTAATATGAAGACCTATATAAAAATATATAAATAAATCTCTATAAATAAATAAATCCATATACAATTTTATTTCTACTAAGTTGTTTCTTGCTAAGATATAACCTTTAGAAAGTTATAGAAAAATGATAGAATTGACATGAATTTAGGGTGCTAAGTTATCCCTTGCTAATTTATAACCTCCCATAAGTTCTACCCTAGAATGCAAATTGATTCCAAAACATAGTAGAGATAATATTGTTTAACAAAAGATAAAGTAGCATATTAAAAATTTAAGTTAATTTATACATAAAGACGATTATAAATTAGAATTAGAAAGGATTTTTTAAACTATAAAGTAAATGGATAGAATTTGAGATAAAATAAAGATCAAATTAAACATTTACAAGGCTGAATTGTAATTTCAAAAATATTTTTTATAAAACAACTCAACTAAGTACATGACTACAAAATTATTTTTGTATATGTAAATACCTATGATAAATTAAATAATATATTATTAATTTTTACATATTACATTTGAAATAGACACTTATGTTGATTTTTATAATTTTTAGTATAAAATTTAATTATGCACAAAAACATCAATAATGTTTTACATCAAAATAAAAATAACACTTTCAAAAGAAATGAGTTATAACTACATACATTGATAACATTTAACTATTTTCTTGTGTTATTCATTTCATGCTTTGCTTATAAAGAGTAGTTATACAACAATGACTTATTAGAAGACAATAGATGGATATAATAAGTCAATGGGAATACTTCATAAATATGAGATTGGCAACAAACTACCAACATAAAATCTATTAGAAGATACAACTTACAAGATAAAAATAAGTAAATAAATAAAAATGAAGAAAAAATCACAAAAAAACTAAATATATGGTTAAAGTAATACAAAATTTGAGAAAAGCTGCCTAATATCAAGCCTTGGAACTATTTCTTTGGTGAAACTGATTCGTTTTCCTACCAAGAGAAACACTAAATATTCAAACACTATTTAGCCCCTAGTAGATTTGGTTGAGAGAATCTCCTCCTTCTTCTTCTTCTTCTTCGTTTGATGCCCTCAATGGTCCCCGAAATGAGTTTTTTTTGCTTGCATTGCATTGTTGAGTAACACCTCCGCCTTCATTTTGCAGCGTTGCTTCATTTCAAGGCCTCGCCATGGCCACGCCCACTGAGCCTCTCATGGAGACTCTGTCTTCGCCCACTCCACCTCGCAGGTAATTCGCCTTCTTCTAATTTCTTTGATTTTGTTTCTTTCCTCTGTTTGTTTGTTTGTTTGTTTGTTTTAGTTTGCACAGGAGGTTTTCTCAGGTTCACGGATTAGTCTTAGGAGCTGTCTGCTTGATCGAATGCATCCACTAGGCTGTGCATTCAGTCGTCTGCACATAGCAGTGTGGATTCTGGTGGCGTGTTGCATGTAACTCTGCTGAAGATGTTTGAATTAGGGTTTCAGGGCGTATGATTAAGCTTATATGTAAAAATATATGTATATTTATTGTTGATTTGAGTAAATGTGAATTTGAATTTTGGCCTTTCGTTGCATTCAGGGCACGTGAAGGAGAAGGATTACAACAGTACTACATAGCAGTCGATCGGCAAAAATTTAAGATGGTGGCTACGCACAGGTCCCTTAGCAGCGAAGTAGTTGCAGTAGAATTCTGGGTCGTTAATGGGAAGAGCAAAATCTGCGCACCTTCTGCTTGGGCTCATTTCCTGTTAAACTGGATTCATCTCGTCTTGATCATGTATCTAAGACCTTCGGTTTCATTGTAAGGTGGAAAACTCGGTGCCTGCGAAAGATTCATGTACTTACCGGTCGGGAAATTTGGAGTTTCTTAAACGAGGTCATGCGTGGGAGTGCAGGACACGTTTGTTCAAATGCTGTTAGTGCTGGGACGAAGGGCTAGCCTGCCGATCGCAATATGTTGCAGCGCTCGCGACAGCCTGGATGCTGTCTGCGCCAGGATCTCTGCTGCTCAGCAATTCTCCCTTCTATTCCTGGTCCGGAGCTCAGCTTGTCTTATTCCTCTACAGAGTTTATGCAGATTTTGTACCTTCAGTAGCCAGTGAATAATCAGAGTTACCGTAACTCACGTTTATTCCCTGGCTTTCCAGAACTCACGTTTGCAGCTGAATTCGAGTTCTAGATATTTATTTTGAAGCATCTTTCTGAACATGTATGATTTGTGTGGACAGCATAGTGATCAGGGAGACTCGGAGCGAGCTGTGGTCCTCAGTAACTTCCACGCTATTGTTCGAGACTGGAACCATGGTATTGTTAAGAGCAGCGTCTCCAAGCTAGAGGGTGACGACGATGAAAAGGTCGAAGCAAAGAAACCAGGCATTTTGGTGACAACTGATGCTTGTTTGCCATCAGCAACATTAGGAGAACCCTCTCTTGGCGCTCGCGTTCTCATCCATTACGACTTGCCTGCCAAGAAGGTAGAGTTGCACATGCTAGGTCGTTTCTCACCTTTTGTGGCCATGTTGCCACTGTAAAAGCACTGCTAACTGAAGGAGTAGCAGGATGAGAGAATGTTTGGGCACACCTGCAAGTCGGTGGCTAAAAGTTCGCTCAATGATGTTTCTTTGGTGGAATTCTGCATGAAGAGACAAATGTAATTCTTATGCTTTGGATGGCAGGAAGCATATGTGAGGAGGATGTCTGCATGCTTAGCAAATGCACCAATTGTTGTTGGTGCTCCGAATTCCGGTGGCATCGCAGGTAATTGCAAACAGGCTAGTTGCGCCCTAAATGCTTGTTCCAACTTCGTTCTTTCTGGCTATTCCATCGTACTTATGGCGCTGCCGATACAACACACTGGCTATTTCGACAATACTTGCATGTGCTTCTTCAGGCTCCTTGTCCTTGTTGGTCTGTTCCTCAGCTCAGCGTCAAGAGTGACTTTTTTCTCGTTTTTGCAGGTGGCATTGTGATCAGTGTGGTTGTGGGAGGGGAAGTGGGTTTGCTCCGCAGTATTGAGGAGGGCTGTTGTGTGACTATTGAGGAGATGCCTATTCATGTAGGTTTGGTGATATCTGTGCTCGTTCACTTCTGAAGTTTCAGCTTTCTTATGTAGCTACCACTTGATTATGCCCAGTTTCCACAAGCTATTCTCAGAATTCGTCAAACTGCTGTTAACTTGAGGCTGCTTGTTTGATGCTTTGTTGATGAGGCAGATCTCAGAGCTACTGTAGAGCGCTTGTATCAATGGAGGGAGCGAGTCCATTGTCTGAAAAGTAGACAGGATTGGATGGACCCATCACTGAAGGTTTTGTATTTTTATCTTCTTCATCTTTGTTTCTGAATAATTATGGTCGAGATCGCACCTACGTAAGCAACAGGTGTTGGCACCAGTTTTCAAATCCTTGCCTGACATTTCAAACCTTCGTTCTCCGAGTGGAAGCTATGCTAAGGTACCCTAATTGCAATATCTCCTCACTGCAATATCTTGGTAAAAGTTCACATGTATTTTTTGACAGAGTTTAGTTCAAATTTTATATTATAAAATTTAAAACAATCCATATAATGTTTTGAATGTGTGTGTGTTTATAGTAGTTGAAATAGACTTTTTAAATATACCTTCACCAGATAGAATGTATGAAATAGCGCAGAGGTGACCACAGTAGGATTAATGTTCACAAACCTTAATTTATCATGTTATATATTCCATAGATTGTGCACATTTTGAAAGTCCTGCATGATGTAAACATATGTAAACACTACCTATCCTTTTTGTAATTATTGTTTATAAAGTTTAGGATTATCAATCTGGTGTGGTAATAATTTACAATATTAAGATAAGCATTTAATGATAAAAAAACGTGTTATTTTTAGACATATACTGTAAAAGAAAAGTCGAAGAAGTGATAAAAAAAGTATTGTAATAATTTCAAAATTAGAACCGTGTTTACATAATAATGAATATCAAAGGTAATGGAATAAATAGTTTTCAGCGTGGATGTTTTTATTTGTAGAAAGAACCTTCAATTACTAATGTGAAGTTAGAATCTATTGTGATGAAATCAAAGTTTAAAACAGTAGTAATCTTATTTTACACACCAGCTTTATGATACAATAAATACACCACGTAGGAAACAAAACTATTCATAGGTAGGAGACAATTGTTACCAAGTACATGTATAAAAGAAACATTCTCAAATCGTCTCAACTATACAACTATTGTATCTAAAATTAATCAAGAGCTACTTCTGAAAGAACTATCAATAGCTTTTTATGATTATTGATTGTTGCCTAAAGATTTTAAAAAAAAAGAAAAAGAAAAAGAAAAAAAAGAAAAAGTTCAAAGAGAATTGTATGACTTATCTTGTATACTTTGTAGATTTACAATATCAAGATAGAATACAGAAAGAATATCATTCAAAGCTATATAAATATAAGATAACATTGATAACAAAGTTATTGATTTTTCTAAGTACATATTTTAAAGAGGTAAGACATGTAAATTAATGTGCATGTGTAGCAAAATGACAGTTTGTGATTATAATATAATGTTTTGAGATAACCTAAAATTGAATATATATTTTTAGATATATGTTGAAATAAAATTGCTACAATATAATATATTTTACTAAAAGCTTTCAAAGTTAACATTAAAAAATCAAATAATGTAACAAGATGAACAAAGTGGTTAACAAGAAAATATAGCAAAAAAGATCTAATTGATTTTTATAGATAAAAAAAAATTAACCGCATATGTAAAATAAAAATAAAAAGAAGGGTTGTAGGCTTAGTTTGATCCAGTAGAAAATGTTTAAATTTAACCAAGACATGAATTGTGCTTTAAACTGTAAAGACAATACATACATAAACAAGACAAGACTTGATAATCTATTTACCATACAAAAAGTATCACAATGAATTCTATTACTAAAAATTAAAAAAAAAAGGATAATGAAAAAATACACAAGTATTGATATTTTTGTCCAAAGGTTGCAACTCATAGAAAATAACTACAGACATTATATAAAATCGTACCATTAGAGGTTAGTTTGTGACGAAGCAATCGTCCCATTCCAACGAAACTTAATTTTTCGTTCTCGGAGCACCCATAACCTGTCAACGAACGACGTCGTCAACCGAAAACGAGGATTCGTCACTGTCTTCGTCCATCGTCGTCCCCACTGCAACGGAGCACAGTTTTCCATCGACGCGTGGTCCAGTGTGCGGCAGCGCAGAAGCAGTGAAGGGATGAGCCGCGAGGAGGAGGAGGCACTCTCATCAACTCGCACATTCTCGAATGTGCGTCGAACCCCCTTTTTCTTATCTGTTTTTTCACCCGTCGCCCAACATCATTCCTGGTTTTGTTGCTGTGGGGCTGACGATTCGTTGCAGTTGGGTTTGTGGAGGTCCTGCAAGGTTCAGTAGTAATGGCAGCGCTGGCGAGTTCAGCTGCTACGGCAGGTATGATAGGGCAGGCCCCCCGGCAGAGCACCGTCGCATTGCGAATGGCTTCCTCGAGAGCCTTCGTGCCTGCGCAATTCGGTGTCCAGTGCCTCAGATGGCGCGGCAGGGTTCAGGTTCAGAGCAGTCATTACAGGCGTCCTGTGTTCGTCGCTCAGAATTCCGCACAAACCGAAGAGACAGTGAGTTTAGTTCCCGCCTCCTGACCTCTTTGGCTTGCTAGGATGAGGGAGTTTTGTGCGTTTCTAACATGTCGCATGTATTCGAGTTTCGGGTTTGGATGCCAGTGGGTGCAAGGTGCGGCATCCGTTTGTTTTTAGGGTTCCTACCATTGGATGATTTGGCCAAATTCACCGTTTGCGGAGTCTGGGCAGGGTTCGTTTAGGGTTTTAGAAATTGGGACTGATGCCTTGTGATACCTTGCGTATTCGACAAGCATGGATTATCATGTGTTGTTCTCGTTACGATATTCTTGTGCAAGCTGTAGTTTGGATTCTCCTATCATTATTTTTGTAAGAAGCTGATTGCTTTTTGGTAATGAGCCTTTATGTTTTGGTAAATTATTTATTTATTTATTTTATTTTTTATATGAACGATAGTCACTTTGTTCATTTTGCTACTTTGCTATCAAAACATTCGTCTTCTGGTCTTTGGCTTTCAGTTCTTTGTGTTTTGGGGTCCTCTATTATTTGTCAAGTACGGAATTATCAAAAATTTGGTTTAGGTCAGGCTGAGGGAGGATTTTTTTCATTCGCGAATACGTTCTCACGGGCCATGCACTCGTTGGTTCGTGAGAAGTCAATTATCAGAACCGTACCAATTCAATTTGGGTGATGGGACCTCTTGATGTTTGGCAGGAAGTAGGAGAGGACGTCGAGACGAATGAAGAGGCGCTTGCGGAAGAAGAATCCGCGAGCAATGATGCTAGCCAATCCCCAGCTGCAGAAGAACAATCATCGTCTATTAAATCTCTACTTGAGGCCTACAGAGAAGCTGTGGCTGCAGACGATGAGGGAGCTATCAGTGACGTTGAGAGCCAGCTTGAGGCGATCGCTAATGAGCGAGATTCGTTGGGACTTAAGGTTAACAGTCTTATCGAGGAAATTTCAACAAACAAAGATAGATATCTCCGGCTCAATGCGGATTTCGACAATTATAGAAAGCGGTCCGAGAGGGACCGTCTTGCTACCGCAGGAAACGTAAGGGGCGAAGTTATTGAGAGTTTGCTACCCATGGTGGACAACTTTGAAAGAGCAAAAACTTCCATCAAGACTGAGACCGAAGCCGAACAAAAGATTGACAATGCGTACCAGGGTATTTACAAGCAGTTCGTGGAGATCATGAAGTCACTTGGTGTTGTTGCTGTCGAAACAGTCGGCAAACCCTTTGATCCTAACGTAAGAGTTTATGACGTCTAGACGTTCCTGGGAACTTCTGATTTGTATTTCGCGTTTAATCATATTTTTGCAAATCGTGTGCCAAGACTTTGATATTATAGGCTTGGCGTAACTTATTTTCACTGCGTTCTTATTTATTTATGCTGTATTTGTATGTATCTGAACAGAAGTTGTGTGTTTTTGCAGCTTCACGAGGCAATCATGCGTGAGGACTCAACTGAGTTTGCTGAAGATGTTGTTAGTCAAGAGTTTCGTCGAGGTTTTAGGATAGGAGACAGGTTGCTGAGGCCTGCTATGGTGAAGGTTTCATCGGGTCCTGGTCCTGCGGCCGCCACGGACACCGATTTACCAATAGAAGAAGCCCTTGCGAATGAGTGATGTATCCTTGACCAACTTGCTAGATAAGACACTTAGTCTCTGTAGTATGCTTAGATCCCAGCTGCTGCAACATATCTTTAGACCTAATTTAAAATTTTCAATCCAGTCCGACCATTGGGACTGCTAAAAGGCCTCCGCAGAATTTATAACACTGAGTTGCATGATAATCTGTGTACATGGTTCTTACACCTCAAGGGTTGCTGAAATCTATGTTGATCTCATTGTGTAGTGTGCCTCTAGAGATGATTTGCTACCATTTTGTATTGCATTTGTGGCAAGCCCAGGACCTCGAATACGCTTCTGTGAATTGTGTACCACGATTATACGTATTGCTGCATGTTCGTGAATGTTATCTACAGTGGCATACTGCACCTGCTCAGAAAGGTGACCAAACCTACACGGTCACCTGGATACACGGTCACCTGGAGTATACATACACGATTACACCTGGAGTAACCTGGAGTACACATACACGATTACACCTGGAGTAACCTGGAGTACACATACACGATTACACCTGGAGTAATGGGGAGTGTGAGAATGGTTAGATCTTATTGAATTTGTTGAGAGCAATAAATGTAGCATTAAATACTATAACTACAGTATTTGGAATGTAGTGGAGAGGAACTATTTATCCCCTTCTCTTTTTGTATATGAGACATAGCCAGATCAATAGATTTTTATGTGTGAAGCTCTCTCTCAATAGAAACCCTTGTGTGTATTACGTACTATTACTCTTGTATGTGTGTGCATTACTTACTACTACTCTTGTGACTTTCTAAACTTTTTCAATACGTTATCAGCACGACTCTCTTCTACATACTATCACAATTTTTTTTTTCCTCTAGTCTTGATTTTGCTCAAACTTGTTGCTACTCTTGCTCCCTGTCTAACTCATGATCTTGTTGCACTTCTGGCCTTTCACACATTAGCTGCTTGCTTAGAGCACTTGCTCCACTCTTTGCCATGTTTGTTTAAAATACTTGCTCTAGCCCAGCCTCCTTGTTGCACCCCATGCTTGGCGTCAAACACCTGCCAAACTACCATTGAACTGCCACCAAACTAATTGTCGACTGCTGCTGAATAACTACCAACTCTATTGCCTTGCCATTGATGTTGCTGTTTTTGCTGCCTTACCGCCGTTGCCATCCTACCACCCTATTGCTGTCGCCTACCGTTGTCATAATACATGAAGTCTTGCTTGAGAATGCTTCGGGCACCTAGCTGTAGATGGAAGAATGGAAATTACAATAACAAAATCCTAATTCTAATAAAATACTAACAATGCTCTAATTAGACCATAATAATGCTAAGCAAGCTTAATCAAATTCAAAAAAACCTCAAAAAAATTTCAAACAAGCATTAAGAATTCTTAAAGAAATATTAGAAGGATCACAAATATCATTCAAATACATCTCAATTCAATCTTAATTTAATTATAGTTAAAATCCTATTGAACTTCATTCAAACTCTAGGCCAAAACTAATTGAATCTTGAATCCTAATAAAATCCTAAACCCTGAATCAAACCCTAAACAAACCTTAAATCAAACCCCAACCAAATCCTAAACCAAATCCTAATCAAATCCTAAACCAAACCCTAAACCCTAAATCAAACCCTAACCAAATCCTAATCCAAATCCTAAATCCTAAACCAAATCCTAATCCAAATCCTAAATCCTAAATCAAACCCTAATTAAATCCTAAATCCTAAACCAAATCCTAACCAAATCCTAACCAAATCCTAAACCCTAAATAAACCCTAACCAAACCCTAGTAATTCCTATAACAGTTTCAAACCTCAATAACTAATGAATAAACCATTGATCTTAACTCAAATTTTGCACACTTCTAAAAAACTAAGTTAACAACAAGCACAAGAAAAATTGAAAAAGATCGGAGTTACCAAATTGATGATAACCTCAAAAATATGCTCAGATATTGGCCGGCCTCCTTCTCCAATCTTCCAGAGCCAATATCTCTCCTTTGCACTGTTCGATTGATCTCAAAATTTTCATACACATAGAAAATCAAGTCTAATATCCTCTCACGTAAGTTTCACTCCAATCCAACTAATAGATTGCAAGAAATCTTAAAAACCCCTACTAGACCTAAAATTATACTTTCTGAGACCTTAACCTACTTAAACCTCAGTATTCCTCAATTCAATCGTTAGATCAAGATCAAATTTACAACACATATTAAACACAACTATAACCATAATGTAAATCCTATTTTTATTTCATAAATCCCAAGTCATCGGAAACAAACCTTGACTTTACAAAGCTCTTACAAAGTCATATCAACTCCAAATCACCCAAAATCAATGCCCATAGAAACCCTATCCAATCTTCTATCAAATCCCACTCTTCAATCTGCCAAAGAGTCTTGGAGTCATCGTTGAGACTTGATATTGTGCCTCAAGATCTGATTTCGACCCTGGTTCATAACTGGCCATCTCTGGGTATCAACATCTAGTTTTTTTAAGTAATTTTTACTAGAATTTACTCTTAACTTCCTTCTAAAGATGTCTATATCATTTATTTTTCCAATCTACCTTATTTTGCCTTATTTTTGGCCCTACAAAGTAAATAGAAGCTATTTTTTCTAAAAGTGCTGCATTACTATTAAAAGTTTTACTACCTTCCTATCTTTTATCCATATTTTTCTACCTTTTCTTTTAACTTGGCTCTTCTATAATAAGATCTATATTATCATCTTTCACCATAGAGTCGTATTGCAACATGACACCGCCGCTGCATGTTGTCGCTATCTTAGTGCTGCTCTGCTACAACAATCCACTACCTTGTAAAAAAAAAAAAAAAAAAAAAAAAAGAAAAAAATTATAATTTTTAATTTTCAAGTTCAAGTTTATCATTTTATTTGACTTTATATTTTAAGATACATTTTAATCAATTTTTCTACTTGATCTTGTATTTTCTTTATATATTTATTTATAATGACTGCTTCAATATCTTCAACTGCTTCTACTATGGTTCCAACTATTACCAATGCATCCCAACATTTTCAAGCTCTTTTATTTCCACCATTGACTATGGATGGAAACAATTATCTATTATGGAGAAAAATAGCAAAAGCAAATTTATTTACAGAACAACTCTCGAATACCATTATGTTTGAAGAATCTTGTATAATAAGTATTTCTATTCCTCTTGCTATTCATTGGAAAGCACTTCTTCTCCTTCGTCGTCATCTTGTATCTATATTACAACATAAATATTTGAAAATGGAAGATCCTGCAGAACTTTGGAAGAATCTTGAATTGAGGATTGATCATCAAAAGACCATTTTCTTTCCACGCACACATCATAATTGGACACATTTATGTATCTTAGATTTTCTAAATTTAAATGCTTTCAATAGTAAAATATATAGTATTGTCTCACAATTACGATTATGTGGACAAAACATCTCTAAAGAAGAAATGATTGAAAAAACTCTCGAAAACAAAAATCAGAGATGCATTCTTGTCATAAGTGTGGAATGATTGGACATTTAGAACATGCAACAGTACTTCAAAATATTTTATTAAAATGTTCTAAGAAAATAAGAAACTATAAGCTGAGGCTCGTGAAGTTCATACCATGGATACATCCACGGATTCAATTGGTGCTGATGACTTAGAGGCTTATATACATGACAAAACCTCTAATGATGAATCAAATGATGTGCTCATTGATTTTGCAGCAATACATACTATCTTGAGGGATAGACGATTTTTTATTGAAAAATCTTCAACTTAGCAAACTAAAAATATGATGACCATGGCTTGAGCAAATTCATTTTGTTTCTAAGAGGAAACAATGATGGTAAAATTACCTGCGAGTTCCATCATAAAATATAAACATGCGATGTTTGCACCTTTAGCACCTCGGAATTTGATCAGCTATCGAGATATAGATAGCAATGGCTATCACATCTCGACCGCCATTTTAAATAAAAAAGAGGTTTTGGTTCTTGCAAAGAATCATAAAGTTGTTGAAAAAGCTTTTGCTATAGAAAATGGTTTATACCAAATTGTGATTCGGCCTCCTATTATATTTAATTTTGTATCATCTATCACTGAGAGTTGTGCTTTTTTCTGGCATAGATGATTGGAACATCCAAAATCTATATTATTTAAAAAGATCATTCCATGTGTAACTAGGTACAATTTAAAGCCTGTAGATATAAACTCTATGAAATTATGTTGTACATGCATGCAAGATAAGATGATTACTCGGCCTTCAATTTGAAATCTTCCACAAGAATTACCACAAATACTTGAAAGATTCCATGGTGATATTTGTGGTCCTATTAATCCAATATCGGGACTATTTTGTTATTTTTTAGTCCTTGTTGATGCATCACGTAAACAATCACATGTTTTATTATTATCAATTCGAAACATGGTGTTTGCCAATCTTATATCTATGCTTAATCATTTTTGGGCATATTTTCTTGATTATCCTATAAAAATATTACATATGGAAAATACAAAAGAATTTGTATAAAAGTCTTTTGAAGACTATTTTACTGCAACATGAATTGAGTTAATATATTGTGTTCTATATGAACATGCTCAAAATGGACTTGCAGAGTTATTTATAAAATGTATAAAATTCATTACTTGACTACTCTTCCTTCACGTGAATTTACTTGTATCTATGTGGAATCATGCAATTTTACATGCTACAGCATAAATATGCATCCATCCTTCTTTTCTTGAAATTATTTCACTACATGAACTCATTTTGGATCGTGTTCCAAATGTGTCTCATTTATGAGTATTTGGTTGCCGTGCTTGGATTTCAGCACCAAAACCTCAACGGCATACCATTGGAGCTCATCAATAAGAAGGCATATATATTGGTTTTGATTCACCAAGCATTATTTGTATTCTTGATCCATCAATTGGTACATTATTATGTGCACGTTTGTAAAATTGCCATTTTGAAGAGAATGTATTCCCATCTCTTCGAAGAGGAATATCAAATCAACAAAGAAATAAAATACTTGTATTTGAAGCACCAAAAATATTTACAATGAATCTCGATCCTAGGACATCTTTAGTTGAAACTGAAGTTGCAAAGATTTTATATCTAAAATGGATCGTAGATGAAATATCTGATGGCTTCAATGATGCATCTAGAATTACAAGAGTTCCT